AAATCAATATAAAGGCTGCCAGTGTCAGCCTCCCCACAGGTTCTTCCCCACATCTCTGTCTCTTTCAATTTCTCCTTCCATGTCCCCCAAGTTCCTGGTACAAGCCCCAGGCAAGGAGCAAGTACAGCTTCTTCACATGTCTCTCTGCTCCACTGTCCCCTCCAGGTGCTGGTCTTGGTATCCCCTTCCTTCCTTCTCCTGCCTTCTCTTGCTCCCCGTCCCTGCTCAGCTCCACACTTCCCATGACGGGGCCAAGGACAACCTGGAAACTCCCCTTTCCTGGGGATTGCCTGTTACACCTTCAGCTCTAAAAAATCATTCCTGTGTATGGCAGCAAGGTAGTTTTCTCCCTTTTGGATAATATTAAGTATTCACCTGCAGGAGGGTGGGGGAAGAACTTTCAACAATGCTTAAAAGGAAACCCACACCTTGACCACACTCTGCTATCTGGATGAGCAACTAATCATTTCCCATATGAACGCATTGATGTGAGATAAAGACACAGAAACAGAATTACAAGAGACACAGCCGGCTCTTATTAAATTTCCCAGAAGAAACAGTGTGTGCATTAGTCTAAAGCACCTGGAACCTAATGCAAAGAGAGATTTACAGAAGCAGCTGTACAGAGATGGACTAACCCAGAAATAGGTTGGCTCTGAGCTGATGTTTTCTTTTTCTCTCTGAATGGAAACAAGATAAGACACATTACTTACAAAATATAACCATTTCTGGCAGTTTTACCTCTGATTTGCGCCCCCTACCTCCACCCCCACCCCAAGTGCTGCCAGGCACAGAGACTGGTTCTGAACACAAACCCCAAAGTTCATTATTAGCCGCCTGGGGCCTCTTCAGCTCAAGCCCCAGTGACGATTGCGGTGTGAATTGTGCAAATCCGGGAATATGCCAGTTCCTGATCCTCTCAGGCTTGGCTCTGTTTTCTGTCAATCCAGCTTTGCATGATGAATTGATGAATTTCCCATATGGCCTAAGGCACCACTGGGCTTAATCCTAATGCATTTTTAACTTCCCCTTTTTTAACCAGGCGCCAAGGAGAAAAGATCAACTTGAAAAAATTCCCTGAACAGGCACCAAGGAAGCAAGAGGCATGAATGCCACTTTCTTTGAAAGGCTGAGGCACTGGGAGTAGAAGAGTTGTCATAAAATGCAGGCTAGAGCTCCAGACCCCTGGGCTGTGACGAGGCCAAGGCCAGTGTGGCACCCTCAGGACAGTTGTGACCTGCCTCTATGCTCCTGTGAAGAGTTCAGCAGGTGTGATGGAGTTTTGGGGTTAGTGGGTTTGGAGTGCGGGGTCCTTGGCTCAGTCTGGGAAAGGTTTCACCAGAGCTCCCATTCAGCAACATGTGGTGAGTTTCCCAGGCAAGTTTCTCCACGAGACAGAGACATCGGTTATATTTACAAAGCAGGTTTGTTAGGGTAAAGGACAGAAGAATAAAGGACACTTGCATAGACACAAGCAGGTAGGAAGAGCTGCCCCGAAAGGGACAGGTTTGCTAAGAGAGGCCTGCAGGTTTGCAGGCAGGCAGCTTTGAGAAGAGCGGCCTCTGCTGAGGGAGGTCAATGAGGTGGAAGTACAGGTCACGGGCAGGTAGGGAGCTTGCTGCTGCAGGAGGAAAGAGTTGGTAAAAAGAAGCACCTGCATAGGCACAGGTGGGCAGAGGGATTGCTCCCTGAGCCTGTGCAGAGACTGCACTGCTATAGTCTTCTCTTGTTTGGGAGGGGCTCATCCTTGTGAGCCTTAGGTTAGTTGCTGATTTTTTTTT